AGCTGAATTATTATGTTCAACTGCTCTTTTTCTATTATTGGGTTATGGCTGAATTGGGAAAAGAAGGATTTCTGCTTTGCCTGGCCTGTTCAGGTAATAACAGTGCTAGGAAAAACCAAAACTCCAGGTGAAAAAACTGATTTTGCTTTTTATGAGGAATTAATTGCCTAGGAGATACCTTACTTCTATAAAGCAGTGAGCAGAAAATTAGTTAATATGAAGGATAACTTACTTTGTTTTGGCTATCATTGACATTGTTTTGATGATCATCCCATTGCATATTATCCATACCCTTGGTTTGATGTTGAAATGGAACATGAATTAAAACTCATGGAGATGATCCTGATCCATTACGACTGGGTTCTTCCTTTTCATCTTTCAAGCACAGGGGCTCCTCCTCCCTGAGATTCTCAGTTTCATCCTGGCAGGGAGAAGTGTTCAGAGTATTGTTAATTCATCAGTCTCCCTGCCACTCAGAGAAGTAGACACTTCTCTAGGGGTCTCCAGTCAGGAAGCTTGTAAAACGGACATGCTGTCATCCTCTGGTATGACATTTGTGTGTAAGGTTCTGCAGTCTTCCCTTGGGTTTCCTTCCTTAAAACCCTGCAGATATATTTTAAAAAGTGGGAAGTAAAGAGATTCATACAAGAGGAAAGGGAGAGAGTTCTGTGCTTAGAATCTGGGGAGTAAGTTCCTTGTTGTAGTCATGATCTGTTACAGAACAGCAGGTGCCTATGTCATGGGCGGTTAAGTTATAGGAAAGAAAGTAGACTCTACATTTTCTAAGCATGGTAATTACAAACTTTTCTTTATGCTAATCCTTTTAGCAAGAGTATTAGATCAAATATAAGCATATAAACTGAACATTTTATTGCTTGTGGCACCTTAGAGACTAACAAGTACTCCTTTTCTTTTTGCGAATACAGACTAACACAGCTGTTACTCTGAAACCTGTCATTTTATTGCTTGAGACCCATACAGAAATATCTATCTATCCGCTCTAGGTGCCTGTGTCATAACTTAATATACAGTCCATAATAATTAAAGTGCATCATTTCCATCCTATGTAATCACCAACCATTAAGCTCGCTAAACTAACCATTGAAACAGCCCTTCCTGTTCCACAAATTTAATCACTGTTATATTTCTCCGAGTTAACAAAAGAATTCTAGAATCCCTTCCAGGTGTTCAGATGAGGGCTGATGTGAACAAAGAGGGAGAATGTTACTTCCAGGAACTAAAGTGGGGAGAATCTGGTGTATTCGCCAAGAGTCTATTTCAAGAATTAATGTTAAAGTGGAGGGACGTAGAGCATCAACACAATAGGATTATGTATATATGTAGTATTTATTTCATGTGTGTTGGTGGTGGTCTTGTCTCTGGTGCTAGCTTTTTTTTTTTTTACTGCCGTTTCCTTTCTATAGGAGTAGCGAGAAAAGTAAAAGTAGTATAGGTTATTTGGTTTCAGCCAATTCAATTTAAAAACAATACTGTCATGAGACTCCTATCTAGATACTGTAGGACGAGTGAATTGAAATGCCTCTTTTCTCTCATCATAGCATCACTTCAGTTATTCTTCACATTTGTTAATATTTGCACTGTCCCCTGTCAAGGCCTTGTTGTCTTTGATGCATTGGGAGCTATGGGTGGGATAGAGAGGGGGAAGCAGAAGGGTGTCTGTGTTTTTTGGCTTTTTAAGGGGAGGAAGTAGGATTTTTTGAAATTTCAAATGTCATTTTAAATTTTTTTAAATTGTTTAAAAGTGTTGGTGAACTCTAGGTTGGTTTCTGAAACTGAGTTGGATATCAATAAGGTATGTTTCAGGATCAAACATATGTACTTCTAAGTGCTAGCAAACCTACTGTCCTCTCCATGAAAATTTGTCCTAGTAACTCACTTCCTTCCATGCTAAATAGTAATTTCATAACTTATAAAAACAAAAACTTTGGCTTACTCAATATACTTCTGTCTTCTAAGGTTTCCATGTTTTATGGAAGAGGTTTTTAAAACAAATTTGCTCTTGTACTGAACTGAGCATATTACTGAGGCTGAATAAAAGAGTAACAAAAAGGTTTAATTGTTTTGGTATGTGGCTTTTTTGAAAACTCAATTATTTGGGCATTATTCTTCTTTAGATTTATAAAAAGATATTAGAAATATCTATCACAAGATCAGACAGCTCTTCTAAAACTTAACATTCACAATAATAAAAAATCCTAAGTCCTTTAAGTCAGTAGCAGAATCCATACAATTACAATCTGAGCTGGCCCCAGACTGTAACTATCTTATGCCAGTAAATAACTGTGGCTAATTGTAATTCTGTCCACGGTCCAAATACCCTGCATAAAGATCAGCATGTCTCCAATACTAAAACTCTAGACCAGGGTGGGGAACCTCCAGCCTGCAGGCCAGATCCAGCCCCCTGCTTAATTTCATCTGGCCTGTGGCAAGTCTCCGCGCCACGGGCTGGAAACCCTGAGCCTCAGTGCCCCCCTGTGGGACTGGAGCTGCAAGCGCCAGCTTGCCCCACTGTGGGGGGGAAGCTAGGGTGCCAGTCTGGTCGGTCGGTGGCCCCTAAGCGCAGGGGCGATCAAGAAAACTCCAAGTCTGGGTTCACCTACCCCCACCTGCAGGTGCTGCCCCTGCAGCTCCCATTGGCTTGGAACCACCTGTGAGCATGGACACCGCGCAGAGCTGCCTAGCCACATCGTGGCTGCTTCCGGGAATGGCACGGGGCCAGGGCGGTGGTGGGGGTGCTTGTCTTAGCCCCGCCGCCGACCAGGAGCCACCTGAGGTAAGCATTGCTTGGCCGGAGCCCGCACCCCAACCCCCTGTCCCAGTCCTGAGCCCACTCCTGCACTTCAGACTCCTAATTTCTGGCCCCACCCCGGAGCGTAGGGGAATCCCCAAGCTTCTGCGCCCCCCCTCTCCTCCCCGCGGGGCTGTGTGTGGCCCATGAGTGATATTTTCTGTGGGTCAGTGGCCTGCGATAGGGAAAAAGGTTCCCCACCCCTTCAGAGTAAGGGGCTGGGGAGAAGTCCTTCCAGAGACAGGAGGTGCTCTCAGAGAATCCTCTGCCACCAGCGCCCTCCTTCTGTATTGAGATAGCTTCACTTTTAATATCTCTGATGATTAAAGCTTTTGGCAGTGTAGTACAGGAAGGAGAGGCCTTCACTCTGGTAACCCAGATCCAAATAATTAAGACCAGTTCCCTGAATGCCACCTGGAAACCTACACAAAGCTTGCAGAATACATTTATTCTGAGTGCAAAGCTCTGCTTAATACGTGGGTTCCTGCATTCTGGAGGGTCTCCTGCTTCTGAATAATTTGAGGGGTAGCCCTAAATAGTATTACAGTAGTCTAATAGCAAGGTGACAAATGCATAGATAAGCGTACCAAGTGCCACATCCCAAACAAAACGTTGCACTCTCCTTCTTAAGCACAGGTGGAACAGCGGACTCTTTGCTACGGAACCTTCGTTGTAATAAAGCCACAAAGCTGTGAGCCTGTTCACTGATTGCACACCACCTGCTGCTAATGTTGATATAAATTTAGCCAGTTCTCCCATTTCCCTTCTCCAGTTTAGAATTAGCTGTGTCTTGTCCAGATTAACCCTCAGCAGAACCTAGTCTTCCAAACACCAATCTCTTATAGACAAATCTCTCAGTCATTCCACTGCAGCTGTGGGATCGTCCATTATTTTACTGGCTATTCTATTTCCTTTAATAAAAAACGAACACGCAAACTGTTTAACTGGCATGTGTTCGAGGGGCAATATTGCTTCCATTTTAAAAGAAAAGCTCGTGACACAGCTCATTTTATTGACATGTTGTAGCTGAGATTATACCAAATAGAAAGTGGTACTAAGAGACCACTGATGCAAACAACAGATAGAACTTTTAATTTCATTTTCTCTTCAAACTTTTTGGAGTAGAGAAAAGATGAGCCAGTGTTCTTGATATAATGAAAAAAACATTAACATCTAAATGATAAACTCATTTTATCAAACTGTCTTTTGATTTGACTGTGAAAGATGGTATCTGCTTTGATGTTTCTAGAACTGTATATAGCTTGATTCACATGATATTAGAAGGTAGAAGACAGCAGGATGTTGGAGAAGAATGAACAAAAGTGGGGAAGTGGGTGTGGGACATAGTTGGATGGTCAACAAATACTTCAGATGTTTGCTCTTTCATTTTTGGGCAAAAGTCAAGAAGTCTGGTGTGACATTGTGCTGTAGTTTGTAACAACTTCTGTTTATACCTCAACTTGTTTTGTATGGAAGGCATAATCTTTAAAATAGAAAAATGCTTTGACAAGATGGACTTCTACATATCATAAAAAAAAAATGTGATTTTTTAAAGTGCTTTTTCTGACATCCAAACCAGTGCAAAACAGGGCGCATGATGCATGTCTGTGCATTTTAATCTCCTGCAACGCGCTCTGTTTTCTTTACTATCTTTTCAGCATACTACAGGTATTCTTAGAATATGCCTCCCAGGTCTGTTAGCAACTTCACCATACTGTTGTTAAATAGAAAAATAAATAGCCATTTATTTATTGAATGATAGGACTTATTTACTGTACCTTTTTAGTAGCAAGACTGACCAGTACAACTAAGTACTAAATAAAAACCAAAGCAGAACAGATGAAAGTAGATTTCATATAGTGAATGTTATGGTGCTGACTTTAGAGCATCATTGTTTAAAGTGATTTGTGATATTTGTATTTTTTCTCCCTTTGCACTGATAATTAGTTGGTGACTAGAGGTGGTGCTAGCCTACTGTGGGCCCTAAGCAGGAATATTTTTGCCCCCTTCCAAACACATGCTAATAATTAAAGGCCCCTCGTCCCCGCAACCGTTGAGCTGCTTGGTGTCCTAAACAATTGCTTAGTCTGCATATCCCTAGTGCTGGCTCTCTTAGTGACTTTGGTTATTTGAACTAATTTAGACATTCCACAAACAGGTGATGATATCAAATCCTTTTTGTGTTTTCCAGATGGACTTTCTGGCCGAGATCAGCCAGTAGAGCTGCTAAATCCACCTAGAGTGAACCATATGCCCAGTTCTGGTAAGAAGAAAAATACATTTCTGTTGAGTGTTACTCCAGGAAGAAAGGCATACAGAGTATTGTCTTATTTTCTATTGTAAAAGGGTTAGCAGATTACAACTATAAATTTATTGAATGATCATGATGATTATGGAAAAAGTCACTTTTCCATGGTGAGTGAAAATGCTGACCAAGTGAGTATGATTGGGGATCTGCTGGCTCTTCTCGAGGAGCAGAACAGTCCAGGTGCTCCTGGGTTTTTTATTGGGGGGGCATGGAGAGAGCAGAGTGGCTGGAGCTGCGAGGTTATTCACAGAAAGTGAGGGGGGGACAAAGAGCAGAGTAGCCCCTGAATTACTGGTCTTCTCACAGGCTGGAGGAAATTACGAAGTGAAGTGGCCTCTGAGCTGCTGCTCCTTAAGAGTTTGGGAGAAAGAGTGAGGAGCGAGGAGCAGAGTGCCTTCTTATGCCATTGTTTATCAGAGAGGACTGACAGAGAGGTTGAGACTAGCATGATTGATTGGGGATGGCAGAACTAATTAAACAGGATTCTTTTTAAAGATACCACCTGGGAGAATTCTCACTCTTGGGTCTTGATTTTCTAATGTGCAGAATTCCCACAGCTCTTAGAATGTTGACCCCCGGGATCAATGACATCGGTGGGTACTGGGTAAAAGTGTCTCCAAATCCACAGCTGCTATCTTTAAGCTGGAGTACCAGGCTTTCATGGTCAAGGGTCATGTGGCAATATGGATAGAGATCTCAAACCTGGTTGACTTTTCCCCAATAGAAACACCAGGAATTTAAAAAGCTTGTCTATGAGGGACAAGACCTGATTTTGGCATCAAGCACAAGCAGTCTTCAATGAGAATGGTATTGTTGCGGGTCTGCTGGGCTACAGGCATCTCGGTTCCACTAAGAAGTGCCGAGAGCTTGAAGATCAGCTATACGCTGCGGAGCAGAGCGTTATGGAAAAAAGGCCATCCTGGATTCACTTTGGCCTATTCCTCCCTCCCTCAGGTCCTTTCTTCATTGGAGGGATGGCGAAGTCTCTCTGTAGAGAGCTTTCACAGGCCCTTAATCCATTTTTCACCAGGCACCAAAATCACAAGAGTTTTTAAAATATTCCATAGTATTACGCCTGCCTGCAATTACCAGTAATGTTCAGGTCCTCTCTGTTTGAGGCAGACTGGAGGTTTTATGTCACTGATGACCCCTAGTCACCTGTGATACATGAATCCTGACCATTGTCTGAAGTTACAAGTTCATGTTTTCCTAAAACCTGGCCTGCTCTTAAGCACCCAAGGATGCTCTTGGGTTTCGTAATATCAAGGAAGAGGTTTTGCAGAAAAACTAACCCCTCCTTGTAAAACATGTGGCACTATATGAAAGACAGGAGAGAGCTTTGTTCCATACTTCCCTGGAATCAAAAGACCAGAGGGCTAGGTTGACATGTTTCAGCAAGGAGGGCATAAGAAATAGGTTAGCATGTTTTTATGGACAAGCAAATGTAAGTGAAATCATTACATGGTTTTGGATGTAGAGGTCATTGGGCACTATCTAGCTGTATCTATTTGTTTACCTTTAGGTTTGTGTACTGTCACCCATCACCATAGCTTCTGTGTGCCTTTCACGCCAATTACATTGGTGATAGTAAATTCCCTAGTGCACTTAATGGAGTCATCTTTGGTTCTTCCATTTTGGGTTATAAAAAGCTTTGCTTAAAATAACTTTGAGCAGGGAAGACATATTGGTAGATGCTATCAGGGTCATTCTGGTAATGGTAGAAAAGCTTTATTGAACGGCAATGTTTTGTCATTCCCAAAGACGGTTGGACTCTGGATTTCTGTATTCTCCTCTGAAGGTTCATTCCACAGCTAGATCCCCTCAGCTGGGAATGCTTTGTCCCTGTGTCTTGAATGCATCAGTCCGGCCTTTGTGATCTGCAGTGTCATAAAGGACTGCAAGTGACTTCGAGAGACAAGATGGGTGAGGATAATTTTTTATGGGACCAAGTTTTGTTGGTGAGAGAGGCCAAGCTTTCAAGCCACACAGAGCTCATCATCAGGTCTGGGAAAAGTATGCTCCCAGCATCACAGCAAAATGCAAGGTGGACAAGATTGCTTAGTATAAATATTTAGTACATATTGTAAGGGACTGTTCAAGGTAGAGTGTCATGTTAACATCTCTGTAGTCATCAAACAAAAAGAGGGGGTTAGTGGTACCTTAAAACATGTGAAAAGAGAAAAGGAGTACTTGTGGCACCTTAGAATCATAGAATCATAGAATATCCGGGTTGGAAGGGACCCCAGAAGGTCATCTAGTCCAACCCCCTGCTCAAAGCAGGACCAATTCCCAGTTAAATCATCCCAGCCAGGGCTTTGTCAAGCCTGACCTTAAAAACCTCTAAGGAAGGAGATTCTACCACCTCCCTAGGTAACACATTCCAGTGTTTCACCACCCTCTTAGTGAAAAAGTTTTTCCTAATATCCAATCTAAACCTCCCCCACTTCAACTTGAGACCATTACTCCTCGTTCTGTCATCTGCTACCATTGAGAACAGTCTAGAGCCATCCTCTTTGGACCCCCCTTTCAGGTAGTTGAAAGCAGCTATCAAATCCCCCCTCATTCTTCTCTTCTGCAGGCTAAACAATCCCAGCTCCCTCAGCCTCTCCTCATAAGTCATGTGTTCCAGTCCCCCTAATCATTTTTGTTGCCCTTCGCTGGACTCTCTCCAATTTATCCACATCCTTCTTGAAGTGTGGGGCCCAAAACTGGACACAGTACTCCAGATGAGGCCTCACCAATGTCGAATAGAGGGGAACGATCACGTCCCTCGATCTGCTCGCTGTGCCCCTACTTATACATCCCAAAATGCAATTGGCCTTCTTGGCAACAAGGGCACACTGCTGACTCATATCCAGCTTCTCGTCCACTGTCACCCCTAGGTCCTTTTCCGCAGAACTGCTGCCTAGCCATTCGGTCCCTAGTCTGTAGCTGTGCATTGGGTTCTTCCGTCCTAAGTGCAGGACCCTGCACTTATCCTTATTGAACCTCATCAGATTTCTTTTGGCCCAATCCTCCAATTTGTCTAGGTCTTTCTGTATCCTATCCCTCCCCTCCAGCGTATCTACCACTCCTCCCAGTTTAGTATCATCCGCAAATTTGCTGAGTGCAATCCACACCATCCTCCAGATCATTTATGATCTTAGAGACTAACCGATCTATTTGAGCATAAGCTTTTGTGAGCTACAGCTCACTTCATCAGATGCTTATGCTCAAATAAATTGGTTAGTCTCTAAGGTGCCACAAGTACTCCTTTTCTTTTTGCAAATACAGACTAACACGGCTGTTACTCTGAAACCTGTTAAAATATGTGGTAACTACTTATTGTGAAGTCTGTTCCACCTTGCATTTTGCTATGATGCTGGGATTGTACCTTTCCCAGAAGTGAAGAAGAGCTCTGTGTGGCTTGAAAGCTTGTCTCCCTCACCAACAGAACTTGGTCCAATAAAAGATTATCCTCACCCACCTTGTCTCTCTAATATCCAGGGACTGACAGGGCTATAACTATCCTGAATGCAATAGATGGAGATGCAGGGTGAAATAGTCCAAAGGGCCTAAGTGATTTTAGAACTTCTCTCATTGATTCCCATTGAATTTCAGTGGAATTTAGGTGCCTAAGTGGTGCAGGCACTTTTGAAAATGTTGCCTGCAGTCTCTAATGTAGCTGGAACCTGATTTGTTAGTGGCTTTGAAGAACAGTTTAGGAACATAATTCCATCTACCTTATGTTGTAAGTGATCACAATTACAATTTCTTGTTACAATATGGGTTTTTTTTAAAGCTACCATTTTGCAGGACCAAGATAACACAGTATGTAAACTCTGTGTCAGCTGTGAAGTAGCAGTTTATTAAATAAACATAATTTCCAAAGTTGCTCATATCCTTGCTGATGTGATTCATGATGTTGCATTACAAGAAAGAAGTATAAATGAAGCAATGGTGACTTCTGCTTCATTAGGAACAGAGAAGAAAACGTTTCGGAAGAGGCTAAAATCTGTCAGGCACAGGTGATTTTCCAGTATCTAAGAGGGCGTTATAAATAATGGAGAAGAGATTATTTTTAACAACTATTTTCAAAGTTGCATGAAAGTGTCCTTCAAGTACATCATTTAAATATATAAAACGAACATTTTCTTTGAGTTTTAGAGGTGGATTAGGTAAACATTTTTCTGTAGTTCAGTCACTGGCATAGCAAAACTAAAATACTTTCATATGTATATGTTCAAATCTAATTTGTGGGATAATTATTTCTTAAAATATAACTTTTTCTTCCTGGTTAATGGAAGACTTAATGTGTAATGATTGTGAAGAAAGGAAACATTTTCTCTTTGAAATGGCATTATTTGTAATTGATCTTGCTGAATTTTAAAAAAGATATATAAATAAGTTTAGATGGAAATTCTTTTAGTCTTCAAACTAATGGAGCACATTAATGCTGCAATAGTATTCAGCGGACCTAAAAGACTTTTAAGTGAGTAGCAACTTTAGGGGAGGCAAAAAATGCTATACTTGTGATAGGGAATTTTTTTCATATATATATTCATGTATTTTTATTTGCTGAATTCAGAAAAGTTAATAGGCAGTTCTCAGGTCTTCTGACGAAACCGATTAGGTTTTCAAGCAGCATGAACCAAACGCGCATAGCTTGAGAAATAGCTTTACGTGTGTCTGTGTTTTAGTTCTCAATGTTCACTAGATGTCAGTCTGCTTATTCAATGAACTTGGATCAATGGTGAGGATGTGAGGTTCTGCGCACAGGAGTTTAGCTATATATTAAAATGTGTGAGCTAGTACTAATGATGTCTGTCTATGCCACTTGAATAAAAGCTGCTTTGAGGTTTTCATTGTAAAACTAGAATCTCCAACATTTTAATCAGAATTGATGCATTATGTAAAATATATAGGTAAGCCTCTTCAGGATTTAAATCAAATATAATGTTTCGTAGAATGCCCTC